CAGTGAATTTATGTTAATGGGTGTCTTAGGCTAGGTTTATTAGAGAAGCAAAAATATGAAACGTATGTCTATATATTGAAAGAGTGAAGTTTATCATCAAGGAAATGGCTTACAGTTGCAGAGTCCTAGGTCCCCAGTGGAAAAGAGAAAGAGAGAGCCTTTTCTGAGTGTCCATTATATTGGGAGTAGGCCACACCCCCAAGGAAGCAGCCCTTCAATTGATTGGCTGCTTGTGAACACTCATTATACAGTTAACTATGCCTGTGTTAGGGTTTCCCACCGTGGAGATAACCACATCTCAACTGCCAACCCATTGGGAATCCTGGCCGAGTCAAGTTGACACAGAACCCTACCTATTACACAATGGGAGAGAAGCACCTCAGAAAGGCAGATGGAAATGGTTACACAGCTCAACGTAATCATTTTTCATTAAATGGTACATGTAGAAACTCTCTAATTGGTATATATACTTTGCTGTGTATAATCACAACAACAGTGAAATAAATTAAGTAATTTAAAAGAACCCAGAAACTTATAACCTATTAACCAGCAACCGTAATCTTGATCCAACAGGATTTGTTTTCTTCTCAAAATGCAAGTAAGTCAAAAGGTGCATCTCTCCTTCCCAGCAAACCCCCCACATCAGCCTTGCTTTTTGACGATGAAGACGAAGAGGTAAACATTGTTATTTACTTATTGAAATAATTTTCAGTATTTACTAGATAATTATTTTTTTAGATTAGTTAGAAAACTCTTGCTGATTTGACTTTATAGCCAGAGGCTCATTCACTAGGGAAAGATGATATGGAAGCAGCCACACCATCAGATGCTGATGTCACACAAATATTCCTGCTTTTATTTTAGGGTCTCCTTTCTCTAGCAGTCTAACGGGGAGGACATTAGCTTATTGATGGCCCTAGCCTATACCTAGCCATAATCCTAACCTTAATTCCTTACTCTTAAACCTTCCCCCCGCCCAAGAAAAATAGAAAGTAGAAAATAAAATGCAAAAAAGCAAATCTTTTAAAAATCAACTAGAAACCCAAGTCATCCCTCCTTGGTCCCAGGCACAAGTCTTTTGTAGATGTAAAAGAGAAGAGAAGCCCTGTATGCTTCTCTCCTTTAACCCATTGCTTCAGTTTCTAACCCATGGAAAGCAAAATTGCAAATTGCTGGCTGCCATAGGGGAATCTACTGTTCTCTTGTTAATTCCAGACTGAAGGCTCTCCCTAATTATAATAGGAGGACCTCTGTGTTTCCTGGTTCTAATTCTGCTACCTTGTCCTCACATTGCCTTCCCTGAAAATACAACTCTTCCAAGTGTTCTACTTGTGGTATTTACTAGCGTTTTGTGATTGTTTTCCCCAAAAGTATCATATTCTGTAACTGATGGAGACTTATTACTTAAAGTTTTGTTTTTGTTTTTTTAATTTTTATGGACGAATGTCTTTGTTTTCTGAGTGTATTTTATGTATATTAAGTAGTCATACCTTTTGTGTTTGATTTTCCAGGATAATTTTTTCGGAACTATAGCTGCTAAAAAGCAGACATCATCTCTGCTAATTCAAAATCAAGAGAAAACAAAACTCTCTGAGCCTTCCAAAAAGAAAGCGTCTGCCTTACTGTTCAGCAGTGATGAGGAAGTAGGTGCAAGTTTCTCCTAAAGATAAGAGGTTATCTGATGGGATTCAAGAGTGTGGCTGTCCACAACTTTTCTTTGTAATCTTTTATACCTAGTGAAGTTCAGTTATCAAAGACTATGTTCACAAAACTTTTTTTCTTAAAGTTATTTAATGATAGTGGTTATGTGCCTTGAAGTTGGTTCCGATTCAGAGCGACCCTGTATAGGGTTTCCGAGGCTGTAAATCTTTATGGGAGCAGAAAGTTTCCTCTTTCTCCCAAGAGTAGCTTGTAGATTTGAACTGCTGACCTTGCGGTTACCAGCCCAACTTATAACCTACTACGCTACCAGGACTCCTAAAAGTTATTCCTAACAATTTGAAAAGATTAATCTGTCAGTTAATACATTCTACTAAATAAATGAAAAAAGAACGTATTGACAGATTAATCTTTTCAAATTGTTAGGAATAAATATAGACTTCAAACTCCTGTGTTGTTGTTGTTGAGTGCCGTCATGTTAGTTTCAACTCAGCGACCCTGTATAGGATTTCCAATGAGTTTGAATCACCAAACTTGCTGTTATCTGTCCAGAGCTACCCCTACGCCAGGATTCCATAATTCAAATGAGCTAGGCCTTGTATACTGTCAGAAGGGACTAGTCCCTGGAGAAGGATATCATGTTTGGTAAGGTGGAGGGTCAGAGAAAAAGAGGAAGACCCCCAGCAAGATGGATTGGCAAAGTGGCAGCATCAATGGGCTCAAGCGTGGCAACGATAGTGAGATTGGCCCAGGATTGGGCAGTGTTTTGTTTTGCTTTGCATAAGGTCGCTATGAGTCGGTACCGATTCGATGACACCTAACAACAATAAAAAATGGCCTTGTCTTGTTAAAGATGATTGCATTTTATTAATTTACAGCTTTTGCTAAACATGGTAGGAATGCCCTGGGCAAGTTTAACTGCTTTTTCATAAATGTCTTAATATTTGTTTGCTCTCTGCCTACGTATTGGTAAAATCAATGACGAATATGATTTAGCCTCTTTTCAAATTTAGCTGTATAGAAAAAGATTTTTAAAATGATATCAATGTATGAGACCCTATTATAAAAACTCAAGAATAGGTTTTCATGATCAAAGGAACTTTTTTAGATGGCTACCAGGCTAAAGGGAGAGTAATTCACAGGATAACAGAGGGTAGTCACGTGTTAACTTGCGTGGCAGGGAGGGTGGTATACAAGAAGATGGAAGTTGGCAGAAGAATGATGCAGACAGATGAAAACCTAGGGAGGGATGCAAGGGCTAAAGAGGCCAGAGATAAATACTGGTATGTACACAACCATGGAACAACAGTACTCTGCCGGTAGATAGATGGACAGATGGACAGGCAGAACGGGTATGCGGGGGAGAGTGGGAGTATACCCACAAGTAAACAGGGTTTGACAGAGGGTATTTGTACATGGATATTTCCTTTTGCTGGAAACACAACTGTGAATGTGGTGGAGCTTTGTTGTTGTTAAGTGCCATCGAGTCAATTCCGACTCCTGGTGGCCCTGTGTAGGTTTTCTGAGGAGTAGCTGGTGAGTTTGAACTGCCGACATTGTATTTCAAACCAACCTTGTGGTCGAGTGCTTATCCTACAGTGCCAAGATGGAGCATACAGGGGATAAAATGATGGAAACTTTTTGTCGTTGTTGTTAAGTGCCATTGAGTCCATTCTGACTTGTAGTGAAACCTGTGTAGGGTTTCCAAGGAGCAGCTGGTGGGTTTGAACTGCTGACCTTGTATTTCACAGTCAGTGCTGATCATACAGTGCCACACCAGGAATTCAAAAACTTCTTAGATATTACTAAACACCTTAAGGCAATGAGTTGGTGGGCCTGGGGTCTCAGGACCATAATTTCAGGGGACACCATGGACCGTTGGCCTAATTAGTCCACAAAGACAGTGTTTTACATTCTACTTTGGTGACTATCCATTGGGATCGTCAAAGCTCATGCACAACTATCTAAGCCGCAACTGTTGGTCTTCCCATGCGTAGAAGAAAAAAGAGTAAAATTGAAGATGCTTGGAATCAGTCAGTTCAGTGGACTAATGGGACATCAGTCTTCATGACTCTGAGACCACAAGAACTAGATGATATCTGGATAGCAATACCAACGGACCTGAAAGGGATCACATTAGAAAGTTCTGGATAGAGTGGGAGACAATGTGGAACAACTCAAAAAATTAAAACGACTGGGCTTACTGGTTAGAAAGAGACTGGAGAAAGCTGAGAATATGGCCCTTGGTTATTCTTTAAATCTGGACTGAACCTCACCCTCCTGGTCTAGTTTTCAGCTAAGCAGTAGATAGGTATATAGGGAATCCAACAACACTAGTGTGGTACGCTAACCATGGAATGGGCAACCATCCAACATCAAAAGGGCAACATTTACCTCGGAACCACATTGAGAGGGGTTGGGAAGGAGGATGGAATGGAAATAGGAACTACAGAGAGGAAGTGAGATAATTGTTGCGTGGAGGGATTGCAATCATTAGATGAAACAAAGTGTGTGGTTTGTTGGTTGTAAAACTGATGACCCACTTTGTAAACTCACTCATTCACAATAAAAAATCTTAAGAAACGTGATATTAATATATTAGTTGTGTTGTTGTAGTTAAGTGCTGTCGAACTGCTTCTAACTCATAGTGAACCTGTATAGGGTTTCCAAGGAATGGCTAGTGGATCTGAACCACCAACCTTGTGGTTCAAACCTACTTTGCAGTCCAGTGCATTATTCTACACCAGGACTCCATATTAGTTACATATAACCTTAATTATATGCTATCTAGTTAGTTATTATATCATATTATATATTAGATTAATAATAAAATGATATTAAAAGCCTGAACATTAAAAAAAAACTTTCTGAATTGATATGATTGTACTTTATTTTACTATTGTGGGCAAGATATGGTGGTGTGTGCTTTGTCAGATCCATCTGAGCTATGTTAAATGTTTTTGTTGCAAGCATCTTAACTTAAAAAGATAGAACGCATTTTGCTTTTTATACTGAGATGTTTATGATGGCTTATCCTTTTGTTTCAGTCCTGGTGTGGCTCTATAGGATAAACACTGGACTGGTAAACACAAGGTTAGCAGTTCAAACCCACCAGCCACTTAATCCTATACATGGCCACTGTGAGATGGAAGCCACTCAGTGTCACATAACTACAGTCCTTTTTTAAAAGCAATTTAAAAAGCTAATACTGTTTGATCACCCTGTAGTTGAGAGCAGTCATTATAGGAAAATAAAAACATTAGTTAAAGCTGGGAGGAAAAGTACATGTTATTCCTAATGCGGTGGCTGAGAGTCCTGGTCCGGCGCTGTAGGCTAATGCGTCAGAAAGCAAAGCCATTTGAATTGCAAGGTCAGTGGTTCAAGCTCACCAACTCCTCCTTGGAAACCCTATACAGGGTCGCTGTGGGTCAGAACCGACTCGACGGCACTTAACAGCAGCAACAAATGTGATGGCTGGAGTCCTGGTGTTGCACTGTAGGTTAATGCGCTGGACTGTAAGGTTGGTTGAACCACGTCTCCTTTCACCAGACCCATCTAGACAAGATGAAAACCATTCTGTGGAGATTCTACCTTCCTCTGCACACTTTGAAACTAAACTCTTGTTGGGTTTTTAAGTTACTCTCCCCGAAAGTCAGGAGTTCCTGATTTCTTTTACATCCTTCTTCCTTCTTAGCCCCATCTATAATTAATTTTGATTTTCTAAAATAGACAAGTACCCTTGTACCCAATAGAGGATGGAAACGTCATGACAGAACAGTCCAGGAGAGAAGAAGTTTTGTTAAGTCTGTGTATTTAAAATTGTTTTCTCAATTTGAGTATACAGAAAATGATTGGGCATGGATTTCTTTGAAGAGTGCTATGCTTAGTTTCAGAGTCCTGGTGTGACAAGTTTAGTGGTTCAAACCCACCTGCCACTCCTCAAAAACCCTACATATGTGAGTCCCAACTGACTCAATGGCACTTAGCAACACTTAGTTTAAATACACTTTGTTTATAAAAAATTTTAATTTTACTTGCCACATTTTTCAGCCTCATTTTTCATACACTTCTGACTTTTAAAGGACCAGTGGGGTATTACTGACTCACAGATCAACACTGGATCTGACAGCAGGTCTAAAGAAGAACGTAGGGATGTTGGAACTGCCCAGGACCAAGAATCTAAGAAGGCTGTGAAGAAGAGCAGTCTCTTTGAAGAGGATGATGAAGATGATTTGTTTGTGGTTGCTAAAGACAGGTGAAGTAGTCATTTCAAGAAATCCTTTAATCAGTATCTGTAGTAACCATGGATCAGTATTTGATGTGCCAGGTTTTGTTGCTGTTAATCATTCATCGTGTGTATTTTTATGTTTTAAAAAGCTATATGCAGTGAATAAGTAGTTGGTCTTGTAAAGTTCTGTTGTGTGATCTCCAGCATCATTTCTATCATGAAGACCATATTTTCCATCTACCGATCCTTCTTTGTTTCCATCGATCGTATTTCAATCTCCAGTAAAGCTAAAAAGATTGTAGAGTGAGCATGGGGTGCGGTTTATTATAACATACTGTCAGATTCCTGTGGGTTCAGGACTGTTGTTAGGTGTCGTTGCATTGGTTCCAACGCATAGCATTGGTTCTGACTCATAGCAACCCTGTGAACAACTGAAAGAAACACTGCCTGGTCCTGCACCTGCCTCACAGTTGTTGGTACATTTCAGCCCATTGGTGCTGCCACTGTGTCAGTCCATCTTGTTGGGGTCTTCCTCTTTTTTTGGCTGACCCTCCACTCTGCCAGGCATGATGTCCTGCAGGGACAGGCCACTCTTAGTAGTAACCTGTTTAAAGAACAAGTGATGACGTCTCATCATCCTGGCTTCATAAGGAGCATTCTGGCTGTATTTCTTCTAACACAGATATGTTGGTTCTGGCAGTCCGTGGTTCTTTCATTATTCTTTTCAACAGCATAATTCAGGTGCATCCATTTTTATTTATTGTCCAACTTTCACATGCATATGAGATGATTTAGAATTCATGATTTGGGTCAGGTGCACTGTAGTCCTCACAGTGACATCTTTGCTCTTTAATACTTTAAAGAAGTCTATTGCAGCAGATTTCCCTAATGCAATATGTCTTTTAATTTCTTGATTGTTGTTTCCATACGTGTTGATTGTGTATCCGAGAGTAAAATGAAGTCTTTGACAACTTCAGTTTTTTCTCGGTTTGTCAAAAGTCCTCTTTGCTTTCAGCCAGCAAAGGTGTGTCTCCTGTATATTGCAGGTTGTTAATGAGTCTCTCTCTAATGCTGATGCCATGTTCCCGTTCACGTTATCCAACTTCTCAGATTATTTGCTCCATATATAAATCTAGTAAGTGTAGTGAAAGGGTACAATCCTGGCACACATCTATTCTAACTCTCAAACATTCAATATCCCTTTTGTCTGTTTGAATGACTGCCTCTTGGTCTATGTACAGATCTCATGAGCACAGTGAAGTGTTCTGGAATTCCCATCCTTTGCAGTGTTATTCAGAGTTTATTACGATCCACACAGTCAAATGCCTTTGTATAGTCAGTAAAGCACATGCTAACTTTTTTCTGATACTCTCTGCTTTCAGCCAAGATCCGTCTGATGTCAGCAATGATATCCCTAGTTCCACGTCATCTTCTGAATCTGACTTGAATTACTGGCAGTTCTCTGATGATGTACTGTTGCTTTGTAATTCTGCAAAATTTTACTTGCATGTGACATTAATAATGTTGTTCAATGCTTTCCTCATTGTGTTGGGTCACCTTTCCTTTGGAATGGGCACATATATGGATCTCTTCCAATTGTTTGGTGTAGATGAGTAAGAACTTCCAGTGCTCCATCAGTTTGTTGAAACATTTCAATTTTTATTTTGTCAGTTCTTGGAGACTTGTTTTTTGCCAATGCCTTCAGTGCAGCTTGGACTTCGTCCTTTAGTATTATTGGTTCTGGATCATATGCTACTTCTTGAAATGATTACACATCAACTATTTCTTTTTGGTAACTCAGTATATTCCTCCCATCTTCTTTTGATGCTTTTCGGCATCATTCAGTATTTTGCCCATAGAATCCTTCAGTATTTCAAGTTGATGCTTGGATTTTTTCTTCAGTTTGAGAAATGCTGAGCGTGTTATTCCCTTTTGGTTTTCTAACTCCAGGTCTTTGCCCATTTCATTACAATACTTGTTTTGTCTTCTCGTGCTGCTCTTTGAAATTTTCAACTCTTTGACTTCTTAATTTCCTCCATTTGTTTTAGCATCTCAATGTTGGAGAGCAAGTTTCAGAATCTCTCGACATCCATGTTGGGCTTTTCTTTCTTTCCTGTGTTTTAAATGACCTTGTGCTTTCTTCTGTATTGTGTTCTTGCTGTCAACCCACAGCTCTTCTGGTCTTCTGTCATTAATGTCTAATGTATCAAATCTGTTCTTGAGATGGTCTTTAAATTCAGGTGGGATATATTCAAGGTCATATTTGGCTCTCAGTGACTTTTTTTTTTCTAACTTTTTATTGTGAATTGAGTGATAGTTTACATGGGGGGAACATCAGTTTTACACACATCCTATTGTATTTCATGTCATTACAATGATTACAGTTCCCTGTATGTATCATCATTCAACAATATTTGCTTCTATTCCCTCCATTTGTTTTGTTTTGTTTTAGATGTACACAAAAACACTCAGGAGTATACAATCATTCAAACAACCAAAGGGCATACTCTGCAAGTCTGCTCCCGGCTGCCAGTACACAGCTCCTCTCCCTCCATAAGTCTAGTGTCCTCAGCTACTATGTCTCTCTGCCTCCATCTCTGGTGTTGCTGCTTCTCTGGGTAGGGTCCCACACTCTGCTCTTGCTCTTTTCCCTTGATGGTCCCAGGGTCCCCCATTCCTGGACTGTTAGGTTCACCCCTTCCCCTTTTTTGCTACGAAACTTCTACCTTACAGTTGTGCCAATTGTAGATAGTCATGAAAACAGTTACTCACTGTTGAATCATAAGAGTCTTATCCCCATCTCCTTTAATCAGACCTGTCTAGACAGGACGAAAACCACTCAGTGGGGATTCTACCTCCCTCCCGCACACTCTAAATCTAAACTCCCTCTTGAAAACTTGTAAGCCAGTCACTTTGTGCCTTTACAGCACCCCCATTTTAGGTAGTCAGTGTCTAAGTTTGTAGTACAGAGGGGATGTTGTGTACAGTCTTAAGTTGTGTACAGAGGGGATGGGAATGATCCTTGCTGTGAAGATTACTTCTCTCTTGGTTAGTTGATATTTTAAGCTACTACATCCATAAGTATAGGAAAAGTTCATCAGATTGTATGATTTACACTTATTTTCTTTATTTAAAAAAATTTTTTTTTCATCTTCCTCTAGTCGAGTTCTGATCATCCAGTCATTGAAGCTAGGTCCAATGGGTACTGTCTGCAAGTTTGGGTGTTCTTGTGCATCTCCCCTCACTTCATATAAGCTGGATGCTTCACTCTCAGCTCTAGCCCTCTGTGGCTATGTCCTTGTCCGTGGGCTCAGCAGTCCCTAGGTCTCACCTTACTCCAGGTCGATGGGAGTCTATGTAATGTAGTTGGACTCAGCCCTCATCTTCATTGCTGCTTTACCCCACTTTCACTCATCAGTAGACCAACATGTTTGCCAGCAAGCTTACATGCTTGCTCGTGTAATCCCTTTGAGTTTCAGTCTTGGAATTAATTGCTTGGACTTAATTGCTTGCCTTGATGGCTCCCTGGTGAAAACTTGCTTGTTCTTGTGGTAGCCATTCATATTGCCGTTTTTTTTTTTGTTTTTTTTTTTTAATTTAAGGTTTTTATTGTGGATTGAGTGAAAGTTTACAGGGCACATCATCAGTTTCACATTCAACAATTCATATAACTTGTTTCAT